CTGCCAGCTGCCCTCATCATCTAGTAGCTGCCCCTCTTTGTGAAGAGTAATGTAAAAAATGCATCAAATACTTCAACGTTCTCTGCATCAGCTGTAGCTAGATTGATTTCTGCATTCCATAAGGGACCTATGGTTTCTCTGGTCTTTCTCATTTTTTGACCTTGTAAAATCCCTCGTAAAATCTACTTGTAAAATCCCTTTTAATTGCTTATGTCCCTTGACTGTTGCATCTGAAATCCTGCCTTGGCCTTCCTAATTTTTATCCCTCCATGCCCATGCAATACTATTATACTCATCCCTAGTACTATGACCCAGCTTCCACTTTTTGTAGGATTTGCTTTTGATCTTCAGTTCATTGAGGGGACTGCTGTCCAGCCAGGCTGGCCTCCTGCTTCCCATTGTACCAGGATAGCTTGCTCCTCCACCTTTAAAAGGGTCTCCTTAAAGTAAACATAGGTCTCCTGGACAATGTCTCCCCTCAGAGCTGTCTCCCAAGGGATCCTGCTCACCAGTTCCCTGAATTTGCTAAAGCCTCCTTTTCTGCAGACCAGTGTCCTTATTCTGTTACTCTCCTTCCTTCCTCTCCTTATGACTTTCAGTTCTGTCATTTCATGGTCACTGTCAGCCAAGATGGCTTCCACCTTCATATTCTCAACCAATTCCTCCCCTGTTTGAGAGTATCAATTCAAGACTAGCTTCCTACCAATCGGGTCTATTTACCATCTGTATCAGAAATTTATCCCCAACCCACTCCAAAAATGTGCCAGACATGTGCACTACTGTATTTCCCTCCCAGCAGATGTTCTGATAATTAGTCCCCCATGACAACCAGGTCCTGTGATTTTGCTATGATATGCAATGAAATCAAAATCTATATGAATCAATTCATCCCCTCAAATACTATAAAAAGTAAGCTGTAATTTGCATCTTAAATGTAGACAGATGTATTAGATCCATTTTGAAGTTGGATGACTTGTTCTTATGCCAGTGATTACTATAGAATTTCTGTAATGGCCCTTCAGAAATCTCATATACAAGTCACATGGCAGTCTACTGCCACAAAAGCTGTCACTGAAGCCTGGCTTATATACATATTTTTTTATGTGGCAACTTTATTGCAGCATCACTGATCACTTGCTTAGAAAGTAACCACTGAGCTTTGGTGAGCACATAATTTCACTTGATTCAATTGATTGTAATATTCACAGTTACAGCTACTAAATGGCTAAATGGATCTCTCCAATCTGAGCTGCTTGTTAACAAAACTACCCCAAATACCAAGTCTACAGTACATCAGCAGATCCACTCTGAAAGGAGACCCACTCGGAAAGGAAAGAGGCCCCTACCCAGCTGGCAGCCTCTCCAAACTGTCTCCAAAATAAAAAAGCACTGTGGTGGCATAACGCAGATTCACCAGAGATAAAGCTAAGCATTTCACTTGCTTCCAATGCTCAGCGTCTGTAGACCCCACAACAACAGAGGCAATATCATCTGGTTTGGATAAGTCCCTGCAATATCAGGTGCTTTCTGATGTGCGTTTCTTAGCTCGTTGTTCAGTATGCTGTAGGCAATTATATGCTCAGCTAATATACAGGCTCTTAACATTAAAGAGCCTTGCTACATAAGTAGCCAGCAGACATGGCAATCAGTATTCTGAAGCAGAGAACAATGCAATTATCTTCTTTGTATTCCAACTAGAATGATGGGAACCAGTAGCTTTTACTTATGAATATTTTGCACAAATACTTGATCTTGTAAAGCCTGATCTGTAAAACACTCACTGGCTTTAATGTCTCTTCCAGGAAGAGTGAAAGAGGACCTTCAGGATCGCAACCTTTCTGGTCACATGCAATTACACAGAGTTCTAGATTTGAACCAACTCCCATGCATCTAAAGCCACCACCTTCTCATTCTGATGAAACACGCAGATCTCGTTTGCTATGAAAAAGTATATATTCTGCCCCGACTTGCTCTCGAATTTCTGAATATTTCCATGTCTCTGGCTTGGCTTTTTTTGTGACAACAGCTCTGCTAAAAATCGACACTTAAAAAAATTCTCCTCTCCACCAGGGGGTGGCAGCATTAGCATTGCTTCTTGATACCCACAAGTAACTGGGAGCAATTTAGCTGGATATTTGCTCTGCAAGTAGTTCAGATACTAGGTATGTTTTATGACTCTTCAGTACTTTGAATAAGTCCTCCTAATAACCTTTTTGTAGTTTTTATAAAGCTTTCTATAGAGTCTAATAATCCCTGATGTAGGATTCCACAGGCAGGCTAAATAAAACCTAGCATTTCATTACTAATTTTGGTGGATCAAAGCCTTGCCCTGACCCTCCAGGTTGCACAAAGCAGCTCAAAGCCAGCTGAAATGGCTGTTTTTCTTGGAAGAACCCCAAATTGGCAAAGAGCTCATTATGAACCCCATCTCAATCTGTTTAGAGTATATAATAAGTAATAATAAATAAGTAATAATATGCATTGATATAGCAAACCTACACTTACATAACCATCAGTCATCACCCAGGTCATCTATGGATCATAGATCTGTGTAGGCCTCCAGATTGGTAGACCTCTACATTTTTCTGCCATTTTCCTTCCCTCCACAAAATTCCTGAGCTACATACATCTAAAACAAGCCATGAAGGTACAATCTGAAAGGGTTTTGGTCACTTCTGCAGAACCCAGTAACTTTCATTGTATTAGTCTTCACAGTATTTTTCTCTAAGGCAACCAATGAAAATTTGGAGTCATACAATAGATCAGGGGTGGACAAAATGTGGCCCATGGGCCGGATGCGGCCCGCTAGGTCATCCTATCCAGCCTGTGGGGCCTCTACAAATATTAGAAAATTAATATTTATCTGCCCCTGGTTGCCTGTCATGCAGCCCTCGATGGCTTGCCAAAACTCAGTAAGCAGCCCTCTGCCCAAAATAACTGCCCGTCCCTGCAATAGCTGCATCTAGTTCACTAGCCTACATCTGAATGATCCCTAAGCAGTGAATGAATGTGAGAGCAACAGGTCAAATAACCGCAGAGCTGGATTGGTTTTATCTTAACATAAATAGGCTGTCTCGCATGGCTTTGGAGAACTTATACCACATACGATAGCTGCTATATTTGTGAAATTGTTACTCATTCACAAACTTCCTGAAGCTCACAATCCCTGTCCATTCTGGAGCCAATATTACCAACTTCTGTAACTTTTTAGTTGCAAGTCTCATGCTATCTGGTGTTAATAGATCTTGCAGTCAGAAAAGTTTGTAGTAATCTAGCTTTCATTTGTAGAACAAATATTTAAACATCAAATGAAAATGTCCTCTTGTTTTTGAGCCTCAAGGGCTCACAACTAAAAGCCACCCTGCTCCCCCCATTCATTATTTTAAAATATCATGATTTTAAAGCCAATATCATCCCATTTTTATTTCACGTGGCTGGAAATATTAACCTAGTAGAGTGTCTATCCAGTAAAATTTTAATAAAAGCATAGACATAACAGTTGCACATCAAAGGAGGAGAGCTATTTACATTCCCCAAAAAATAATTGATGAAAATGGACAATGCAACTCAATGCAACTTTCAAATGCAGCTCAATGTGCTTTTAACAAATTGGTGCATGCTCAATAGCTGCTCAGCTACCCATTAATCCAGCAGTGACAGACCTTTGCTAAGCCTGAGATGCCCAAAAGACGTATCCTCTTTTTTGAAAAAAATAATCAACCTTGCAAGATAATATCTCCATCAGAGCTCATAGCATTCCAGTGAAGTACATATTGGCATGGCAACAGATCACTATGAACCCTAATTAATGATGTGTGAATATACTGCCAACATTAAATGATTACTACAAGAAGTCGAACTTTAGATAATTGATGCCAGAGAAACTTTTTATTTTTCTTATCTTTTATCCAATGATGTTGAAGCGGAATAATGCTTTCATGAGCCTGTGGCTGTCAGGGCCACAATACAAGAATCTCTTTAAAAACAAGGAAAATGGGTTAATAGTTTCAACTACCCTCCTAGAGAACAAGGCTTCCACTAGGTCAGGGTAGGCAACCCCTGGCATGTGTGGCACACAAAGGCATCTTGCTTGGCATGTTCCCCTAAGGCTGGATGGTGGGGGAGCTGTGAGGGGCCCAGTCCTTGTGACAGAGCAGCCCCAACCCCTTCCTTGCTACCTACCTCAAGGCATGTGTGCACCTGCTACTGGCAAGAAGCTGGGCCAGGGCTCTTCAGACTCCCATGCAGGTGCTTGCAGCCTCCCCATTGCCTGCTGCAATGGGGAGCTGCTGAGCTCCATGGCGGGCAGCAGGGCCTGCCTAGAGCCTGGGCTGGCTGTGGCAGGTAGGGTGGCCATCATAGGGGACAGTCCGGTTGGCCTCTACTGATACAAAACTGGATGCCTTTATGTCCTCTACTTTTCTCTTGAAAATTTTAAGAGAAAATTTTGTTCTCTATTTTCCTCTCAAAGAGATCTATTTGGTATCAATAGAGGACAGAGTAGCAGAAAACTGGAATGTCCTCTATGATGGCTACCCTAGTGGCAGGCAGTTGGGAGGCTGCAAGCCGCTGTACTGGGGTCTGCGGCACTCTGATCAGCTCATTGCTGGCAGCAGGAGCACGTACACCTTGGGGTGGACAGCAGGGAAGGGGCTAGGGCTGCGCTGCCACACAAGGATCAGGCATCTCATAATTCCCCCCACAGTTCACTCCATGGCACCAACATCTTACAAGTTGAGGTTGAGGGTGTTTTGGCACACTAAAGAAAAATGTTGCTGACCCCTGCACTCGGTGATCTGTTCCATATGTCCAGCAGCTTGAGCAGATATAGCTGATACATGTTAAAAACAAGGAAAACCATTTCCTGCCACCCACCCCCCCGGCCAATCTCGCTGACCAGGAAGCAGCTGCAGCACTCCCAGAAGTGGTCATGGCACTTCATCCAGCGCTCCCGCTCCCCGGCCGGCACTCTCAGGGGGGCACTGGTGCTCCTGCCTGCCCTCCCTGTCCATCGCCCAAGCAGGGAGTGAGGCCTGTCTGTGGGTGCACCAGCACTCTCTGGGGGTGCACATGCACCCTATGTACCCCCTATGCATCACCACTGGTCCAGCCCAATGCTCAAAGGAGGATTATCCCCGACTAAACCATCACAGTTGAGCCTAATCACTAGTTTTTTTGAGCTAAATGATAGTAGGGTTTTCTACTTCTGTTTTACCTTTGGAAAGCATGAATACCACACAACCCCAGTTCACCACCAAGTGAAATAGGAACAGTCTGGAAATCTAAGTGCCAAAAAACACAATTACATATGTGCCACTTAGATGCATGAAATGTAAATTAGATCTATGCCATATTAGGCATGTCTACACAAGATGCCAGGGCTAGGGACATAAGTTACACACAAACTGGTTTAAGTGATCAGAAACTGGTTTAAACCTGCAACAGAACAGAAGCTCAGTGCACATAAACCAGTTTGAAAATAACTGAAACTGGTTCAAGATAAACCTGGTTGAATGTATTAGCAGACTTAACTGATTTGGGTCAAACTGGTTTATGAAACTTCTGTCCCAGGCCCCTTCCTAGTTGAAGTTAAATCACAGTCCCCCAGCATTCCAGCATGCTTTCCAGCCCTGGGTTTTGCTATGCTGTCTGCTCCAGAGAAAAGGGCTGACCCCACCCCTCTGTGCAGTAACTACAGTGCATTAATGCACATGTAGATGTAACCACTGTGCACAAGAATAATTTCAGCCATCACTGCAGTACAGCCATCTCTGGATTAAATGTAGCAGCTATTCAGCAGCACACAGCAACTCTGTATAGAAGGTTAGAATAGGAAATAAATGGAAGAAAGATAAGCTAGAAAGTTAAAGGGGTCACTCTAACAGCTTGATTCTGCATCACTGGCATCAATAACAATCTTCCTACTGACCTCAATGAATGCAGAACCAATTCCCCATAAGAGAGAATTATATCTAACCTGTGCATTCTCTCCCAAACCCATATAAAGAAGTTCTGGGAAGCTACCATATGCTAAAGTGTCAGAGTTAGATCAGATTTAGCTCAAGCTCCTTGGGTATACTCTGCAGATAGCTAATCTTTGTAAGGTAGATCCTTTCTATTTCTGACTTAGCTTTGTTTTTCCTTGCTAAAAATGCATCATAAGACCAAGCATATAAACATCAACAACTTGGAAAATAAGCAATAATGAGGCCTGTACTTTAAAGGTAAGTGTGCCTTTGTGTTGATGTCCACATAAATCCAATTATAGTTATTTCAGTTTTAAATAAACTATATTATACTTTTTGTTTTTTCATTCTAAGGTTTGTCTACCTCTGCCTTGTCATTTTGATCTTTGCAGTTGAACATTCAGCAGCTTCTTCTGATGTTAGTTTTATAGGAGTAGAGTTTCTATAGCCTGAAATATTGTCTTGACAGTCCACAGTAGTTGAAGATAAAAGAGAAAAGTTTGTTGAAAGAATCCTGCCTACAAGTTGCAATATGAAACCCAAGCTACCAACCTAGTTTGTGGTATTTCCCCAAGAGCCCGTTTCACTGAAGTGCTGCCAGTAGACCAATTCAAAATGCTTCCTATTTAGACAAATTACTCTTAAAACATTATATTTATCAAAAATGATGGAGAGATTGAATTATATTTAAAAATGTGTTGTTTCATCTTGTCAGTTATCCAGGTTGTAGCTGAATTGGTGTAGAGGCAAAAGGAAGCAGAACTCATGGTCGAGGTGATGGCTCTTATGAGACCAACTAGATGTTTGCAAAAAAAATTATTTATTTGCAAGCTTTCGGGCAAAAGCACCGTTGTGGTAAAATACCCACACTTTCAACTCTTCTATGAAATACAAACTTTCATTTCTACCTAGGTTTACTTTTATAATCTTTTCTCCTATCCCTGAATTTGTGCCTGAAAGCTTGTACATACTTTTTTTTTTTTTTTCCAAAAA